AAAAGTGATCGACAAGCTGCATATTTAATTAGTAAATCCATTTGACCCCCCTGATTCCGGAAATGACCAGTGACTGTTAATGGCCAATTAAAGTTAAGAAATTTACTGCGGATTATGCGATTATGCTAATGCGCAAAATTCAATATTATGCGCATATTATGCCGCAGCATAATCCTGGACACTTTAGATACCATATCGTTAGGATTGTTATGATGCCAAGTCGTTCTAATTAAATTATATATGCTGGGTTTCTCTTAGAGTTATAGTAAGTTTACGCCTTAATTCCTTCACTTTTTTCCTAGCGATATCGCTTAAATAGCTTCGTTGTTTTAATATTTTTAATATTTTTTATTTTTCCTATTTAATAATTAGCATTTCTATTAATCTTATTGAATAATATTTACAGTACATCAAAATTATTAATTTGCCTAAAAACCTTCTGCTACATTTAAAATTATACAAACGAAAGAATTGAATACACCCATACTATATTTCCAAGTCACGTGATAAAATTTAAAAACTTTTTTTTGGTTAAAATTTAAAGATGAACGGGCGGGTGACGTGAACCGAAAATGCTAATGTGCGTGGCCTTACGTTCAAAATGTTTTTTTATTAGGCGAAATGTCCAAATTTTTCATGTTTACTGCGGCATATCGTATGCAAACGTTCATCAAAAAAAAAAACAAATGACAACTTCTCGCCAAAAGGCAATTTTTTGTTCAATCAATCATTTTATTCTTTTTTCATTTTTTATTACGTCTTTTTTTCTTAAAAGTTTTTATACGTTTCGTTTCCTTATAAAAGTTTTTTTTTTTTTGCGTTTTTTTTTTTTCATATAAGACAAGATTCGTTTTCTATCGTTTTTTTAAGATTAGAGTGTGTACAGTAATTAAATAATAAAAACAAAGTGGAAGGGGTTTTAAAGAAAATAAAGAGATCGCTTAATTACGCATATTTTGCAAAAAAATTTTTTTGTAACACGATTTAACTAGAAAATTTAAAAAAATTCGAAAAAGTCGATGGAAAAAAAAACATAACCAACTCTATAATAACGAAAACGATATGACGAAAATAAAAAAAAAAATTAAAATTTTCTACAATCGCGGTATTGTAGTAAATTTTTCGTTTCGTTCGTTGGTTACATTTTTTCAAAGTCACTGGTAAAAAATAAAAGTAATATAATTAATATACAAGTTTTTTTTAAAAAAAAAAAAAAAGTATAAAGAAAACTTTCGTAAATTTAAATAAACGTCAATTTGTACCTTTTTGACCTTTTTTTAAAAAGGAATATAAGTTTATTGATGGCTCCTAGAAAGATTCCTGACTGCTTTTATAATCCAGGAAAGTTTAGTCATGCAATGAAAACAATATTAACCAGAAGTGAGTGGCACAAAGGATCCCTTCAATTTTATTCTCGTCATGAATATTGTTTTATCCAATCGGAATTTTTACAACCTTAATTTAACGTATATATTTTTTTATGTTTTGTTCTGATTTAGATTCATGGTAACTTATAAACTCATGTATGATCATGAGTGGATTACATCAAGAGCATCATTCTCTTTAGAAGAAAGATCTAAAAAAAATTCGAAGCAAGAACTTCGAAAGAATATGAGAACTGGACTGGTCAGCTAAGAATAGTCGTATGCACAAAGTTAACAAAAACCTTATCAGTTAGGTCAGGTGGCGATATACTTTCCCATCAATGATTGTGTTTTGAGATGCAAAAACTCTCTATCTATCTCTGGATAACCATTGAAAACATGCCTACAACTGTTTGATGGGAAAATTTTGCCTTGCTATCAGCTGATCCGTTTAATAATTTCAATGGCATTGGCATGATACATACATATATGCATATGGGCGTTTGATAATCAAAATATTTTTATTGATTGATATGACCAACAGGTTTAAAAAAAGTTAAAAACTCATCTAAAAAACTTTTTTTATATATTCCATTAATTTGGAAATTTCATAGAAATTATTGATGAATTTAAGATGATTGTCTTACTGTTTAAGGTTAGATTTCCCACTTCCTATTTGAGCAAAACGTCTATTAGCAAATGACAAAATAAATAAATACAATATAATTTAAAAACAATTAACTCTTTAGGGTCGTCTCGGTTGAAATGGGTCCGAATAAAATTTTTTTATTTAATAAAAAACTCTGTTTCTAAAAATAGACACACTATAGTATTTTCAAAACATATTGATCTTGTAATTTTAACAAATTTTTTTTTATGGTATACATTTTCAAATAAAAAAAAAATAATTAAATAATAAATATATTGAATATTTATAACGATTATAAAATTTCATTATGATTTAAAAATTTTCTGCATAGACGTCAAATTCACGAATCTCGTTTCCTCCCATATTTTCACCAAATTTGGTTCCATTCCAATTGATCTGAGCTTTCGTCGTTTTCATACCATTCTTGGGTTGCGTATTCATCGGGAACAATTCGTTGATTGTGGGCTTTTTTCCGTAAGTTAATCGTAATGAGGCTGGCCTGGGTGTGAATGGGACGAACGTTTTTACCAATTCTTTGATGTGTTCAGAATCACTTTGTAAAATTTTTTTAGCTAAAGATACATCTTGAGTTTTTGACGTAATAATTCCATGTCGTTCCCCCTAACATTCCAATTCTTCATTTAATAAAATATAACTTGTCCATGGTTATGTTGAATCAAACGAACTCTATTAATTTCGATAATGTTGTGAAGGAGTTTTAATTCAATTAAATTGGGGTCATATATATCTTGAAAAATTAACATTTTTGCTTCTTAATTGATGAATGTGGGTCACAATCTTATGCCATGAAAGTAAGAGTGTCTTTTCGAAAGATTAATCTTGCGACCATCCTTTATTGCATAATCCACAAATTAAGTGAGAATCGATGAATTTAAAAAATATTGACTTGAAGGTGTGCAAAAGAAAATTACATTGCTTATTTTTTATATGATTGATTAATAATTGTATATATATATTTTTTTTTATTTCAGCTTGACCATTTATATGAGAAAATGGAAGGTCAAACGATTTGATTATTATGTCTTTTAAATTAGTCAATTAACCGAATTCAATTCAACTGTATTCTCGTTCGCGTTAAGATTTATTATTATTTTTTTTTTTTGTGATACATTATTAATTAGTTCATTCAATCATTTCTTAAAAAAGAAGCTTTCAAAGCTCGGGTCACATTTTACCAAAACAAATAAAAACCTAAAAGCCCTCCTTTTTTTTTTGTCTTATCATTTACTAAAAGATGATATATTTGGCAGTTCATTTAAAACGAGGAATCTAGGCTGAAGCGCCCGTTTCCTTCCCTTTTTGATATTTATGAATAGTTACAGTTAACTTGTACCATTTCATTATTACGGAAATTCGAACTAATAAACAATGTTCCACAACTTTGTTAGCCAAGGATCTCTGTTTTGTTTTGCCGATTTTAGTAAAATTGTCTCGCATTTTGATTTTTATAGATGATGTAATGCCAATACAACACAGCTTACTTCGGACCTCTCTTTTAATATATATTATTTTTAAAAAGAAATCAAAGAACGCGTCTGATTTTCTTTTGTATATCAAGTCGGTCAGCCTTTCTTATTACAGTTAGGTAAAATGCGATAATTTTGTGAGACTTCCTTTTTTAGTTTTATTGTTATCATATCATAAAATTTGTTTCTAACATTCAATGACTTATTATTTACTCACACAAATCAAGTTCAAACCGGATAGAAGTTACAACATATTTATTATAATTCAAGGAGGTGTACTTACATATTTTCTTTATAAGCTTACATTTATTTTTTAAAAAAAAAAAAATCGATTGTTGAAGTACAACATTCCGTTCTCTTTTGGTATGATCTCATCTTATGACTTGAATTACACTTTGTATAACATTTTGATGGTTATTAATATTAAATTTTAGGTATCATGAAATTTTTAATGGTTTAAGATTACAGAATACGCCTGTTTGATGAACCTCCTGATAGGGCGACATCTAAAAAAAGAAAAGCCCTTCTTTAAACATATCATTAGAAGATGTATGACTAATTTTCTGAGGGAAAAAAAAAACTTTTTCAGATAGTTTACTGATTAAAATTCCTGTTTGAAAAGTCTTGTTATAAATCACGTAAATAATTATTGACGATCAATACTAGAGTGTCCAGGATTATGCTGCGGCATAATATGCACATAATATTGAATTTTGCGCATTAGCATTATGCTTGCGCATAATTTCATAAAACTCATAATCGCATAATCCGCAGTAAATTTCTTAACTTTAATTGGCCATTTTGTAAATAAAAAGCACGTGACTTTGCGTGGCGTTTTTACACATACTATAGTCAGTCATAATTTATTTTATTACGCATGCAGAATTTGGTATTTTATACTAATCAATACATTCTTATCATATGATATATTAGATTCTTCAAGTGCACGAAAATCTAATAAATTTTGAATTCAACAACAATTTATCACATTTTTTTTTTTTTTATCAAAAACTTATTTTGTAGTTTCTTTACCTCTGGGTTCGATCATATCGTTCGCAACGATTAATTTTTTTTTTACAGGATAGATTTTTTTTAAGAAAAACATTTTTTTTTTAAAGGAGGTGGACACTTCTGTTTGAGTCCATATTATGCATGTAATCTCTTCTGTGTCATAGCCGATCATTGCTAACGCTTCGGACGCTTTATCTAATGAAAGAGACTATCCTTTCGTCTGTAGACTTTCACATGCTACTATGTTTATGCAGACAAATTTGCCTGTGTTACAGACGAAGGGATAGAGGCTGTTCATTTTAATTTTTTATTTATGAGATACAACAAAGGCAGCGATTTCTCGTTTTTTAAAATATTTATATTATTTAAAGTTCTTTTTTTAAAGATACTGCGGCTTTGCTTTTTTATAATAATTTATAATTATAAATTCTCCTTATAATCACGCTAATTAATGTCGATCTTATCCTGACTGATCAAAATATTGAATTCAATAAATAAATTATTGAATAAACAAATAATTTGAGTTATGAAGTTATAAAATAATTTAAAGAAATATTTAATAAATTTAAAAAATTTATACTTAACAATAAAAATATAATATTCAAAAATTTTTGAATACTTTAAAATAAGATTTAGAATAAGTAAACTGATAATTTTACTTTTTAAGAGTTCTATTAAACTGCTAATCATATTTTCAAAAGACTATCTACATAAAAGTTATAAATGTTTAAATGGGTAATTTTTATCTGATCAGTCTAAATTTTAAAACAAATTGTATCATATGTACATAAGTTTATTGATAATTTAGGCTAATATTATATCAGCCTGAATTATCAAATTGATGTATAATGGAATATCAGAAATTACTAAACAGAATTATTTTTTTAAATTATATTGAATTTTTAAATTGAAGTAACTTACAAACTATTATATAAATTTTTATAAATTTTTTTATATTAATCATCTAAATATATATTTTATAATTTTAATATTTATAAGTTTACCTTTATTTTTAATAATAATAATCACAATATAGTATGACATACTATCACAAGATTTTTATATATATATTTATTTAGATAAAATAGCAAACTTTATATTTTATTAATTACTTAAAAATGTACATAATAAGTGAGATCAAAATTTTACCTTTTTATTAATTAAACTATATAAAACTGATATTTAGTTAACTAACCATTATTCTTAATATATGCTTTAATCCTATGTAGCATACTTTTAATTAAATTTATTAATGTATTACAGCTTATCTTTAATATAGTAAAGTAACCATTCTGCATCTCAACTTTATTATAATAAATTAGTAAAGAATTTGAATGATTTGATTAGTTACTTCATTATAGAAAGGAAAAATTGACATATTTAATTAGTCAAGCATCACATGATTCATAATATCAAAATTTGTTATATTAAGGATAAACTGTATTAGGAAGATAATTTCATTCTTCTTGTAAAGCATATTTCAAATTCTTTACATTTTTTATAAGATTAAAATATTTTTTAATACGCCTTTCTAGCTCTAATAATAAAAATTCAATATGATTCAGATCAGATAATTGATTTAACTAATTTAATTTTAATTTTTATTCATTTTTAGTATAGATAGGAATATCATCTTAAAATAAATAATCTTATCTATTAAAATTATTATTAATAAATAAAAATAAATAACATTTAAATATTTGAATATAGTCACAATAGTTTATTTTTCCATTAACTTTTACAAATGGTCTATTATTTTTTCTAAACTCTAAAAATTTCTTATATAACTCAGATTAAAGTTTGCATAGAGTTTATATGTGAAGATTGCGTATTACAGAAAAGTTTTCAAAATTCATTATTTAAATACTCAAATTTTAAGCTAACCAGTGATTGGATTTAAATGATTTTAATATTATTGGAATTATCTCAATAAGAAAAATCTAATAATAATAAAATTATATTTCTAGTATTAATAACATTTTTACTATATATCACTTGTGATAGGAATGTTAAAATCCAGTCCAATCTTAGTCTGATCCTAAAACTCCCAGTCCTAAAGAAAACTCAGTTCATAAGATTTAAGTCCTAGGACTGGATTTTGAGATCAGGTTCTGGAACTGCAATCCTATATAAATTAGAACTTGCAGTCCTACAAAAATTAAGACTTGTGATCCTAGGATTCAGTCCTATAAAAATTAGGACTTGCAATCCTTAGATTGCAATCAAATAAAAAAATAATCATTTAAGAAAAATGATAATAAATCATTCACCTTAAATGATAAAAGAAATAATTATTTAAGAAGAATAATGACTAATCGTTCAACTTGAATAATAAAAGAAATAATTATTTAAGAAGAATGATGATTTATTATTCAACTTAAATGATAAAAGAAATAATCATTTAAGAAGAATGATAACTAATCATTTGATTTGATGATAAAAAAATAATTGTTCAAGAAGAATGATAATGAATCGTTTGCCTTGAACAATAAAAAAATCATTTAAGAAGAATGAAGATGAACTATTCGACTTGAATGATAAAATAATTTTTCAAAAAGAATGATAAGAAATCGTTTAACTTGAACAATTATTTTTCTATAAGATCACAATTCTAAGACTGCAAGTCCTAATTTCTATAGGATATAAATCCTATAGTTTAAAGGACTTTGAACTAGACTAGACTTCCTAAGACTGTTTGGAACCTAATTTTATAAGACTTTTTAATATTCCTAACTTGTAAATTAAATGAAAAATATTTAATGTCTTTTACTATTATTATATTTTATGAAAAGAATTATGTTTTTAATATTAAATTTTGTCTCAGAAGTTCTTTAAATGCAAACTAGATCATTATTTTTACATATTGTAAAGTGACTTTTATCACTTCAGATAAATAATTTTTATTTTTTAATAGTCTAGTTTTTTCTTTTAATATACTAGTTTAAATAATTTTCTTTTTATTTATCATTAAAAAATTTGAAATGCTAAAATATAAGAAAAATTAAGTTTATGCAAATTTCTCTTTATAATCTTGATAGAAATTTATATTTCAGTTTTTGCTTGATTTGTTCAACTGATTAATAATTATTTGTTTTAATAATTTTTTAGTATTTTTAATGTTCGCAATTTAAAAATTTAAGATGATCACTTTGCAATTGAGTTTTGAGACTTTTTCTTCATAAAAGATTTAAATAATTCAGAAAATTATTATTTTAGAAAAGCTAATATTTTTATAATATACTTTTTGTAATGTTATCATAAAAAGA